AGAAATAAACCCCAAAACACTTACAAAATATAGGTGTAAATCAACATGGGTTCCGATTTAGTGATGGGTTCTTAGCTATGACACCAAAAGCATGAGACAAAAAAATAGGTTAACTGGACTTCATTAAAATGAAAACTTTTGTGCATCAAGAGATCATCAAGTCAACTATAATTGAAAAATAAATTTTAAAAAGGACACTTTCAAAAGAGTGAAAAGAAAACCCACAGGAGAAAATATTAGCAAACCATTATATCTAAGGGTTTAGTATCCTAATATATATAAAGAACTAGAGGCCCAGTGCACAGATTCGTGCACCGGTGGGGTCCCTTGGCCTGGCCTGTGTGTATTGGGCCCAAACCAGCTAACAACCCCCAATGGGGGCCAGATTGCGAGAGGGTGGTTCTCGGGTGACACACCCCAGAATCGGACTCCCTCCTTTCTGGTTCCAGGTGTGTAACTGGAGAACCGCAGCTGCTAAGTAGTGGCAGCTCGGCAGCTCCTGAATTTTTTTTTTTGTCTGCTCTTTGATGGTCAGTGCGCATCAAAGCTACAGGTTGGAGTGTCTGCCCCCTGGTCATTGTGTGTCATAGGTACCAGCCAGTCAGCTGGTGTTGCTCAGGATTTTATAGATTCTTACAACTCAACAACATAAAGATAAACCATTTACAAAACAGTCAAAAGACCTGAATAGACACATATCCAACAAAAATGTACAAATGGCTGACAAGTACATAAAAAAATGTTCAGCATTAGTCATTAAGGAAATGAAATTAAAAAATTATACCCACTAGGATAACTATAATAGGAAAAACAAAATAAGTGTTGATGGGGGTGTGGAAAATTATAAATTCTTGTTTTTGCTCTTGGGAATGTACTAATAAAATGGTATAGTGGCTATAGAAAAGTTTGGTGGTTCCTCAATAAGTAAAGCATAGTATTTCCATATAACCTAGCAATTCCACTCCTAGGTATACTACTGCAAAGACATGAAAACAGGGAGCTGAACAGATATTTGTATACAAATCACCCTAACATCACAATTGCCAAAAGGAGGAAACAACCCAAATGTCCATCAACAGAATGAACAAAATGTGGAATATGCATACTATTATTATTTTTTTAATTTTTATTTTTTTAAAAATATATTTCATTGATTTTTTACAGAGAGGGAGAGAGAGGAATAGAGAGTTAGAAACATCGATGAGAGAGAATCATTGATCAGCTGCCTCTTGCACACCCCCTACTGGAGATGTGCCCACAACCAAGGTACATGCCCTTGACTGGAATCAACCCGGAACCTTTCAGTTCGCAGACTGACACTCTACCACTGAGCCAAACCGGTTTCAGCTATACTATTATTATTTAAGCATAAAATGAAGTACTGAAACATGCTACATCATGAAGGAAACGAGATGTTGTGCTAGGCCACAGAAACCAGACACAACAGATCACATGTTATATGATTGCATTGATATGAAATATCCAGACTAGGCAAACCATAGACACAGAAAGCAGATTAGTGTTTTCTAGAGGCTGGGTAGGTACTGTGGAGTTAATACTTAATGAGTAAAGGGCTTCCTTTTGGGATGATGAAAACATTCTGGAACTAGAGAATGGTGATGGGGAATGTACTACTCACTGAATTGTACACTTTAATATAGTTAAAATGGTGAATTTTACATTGTGTGTATTTTATAATAAGTAATTTTTAAAAGTTTTAAAATATTTCCTTACAAAAATTAGATATGAGGAGAATCTATTTCATTTATTGTTTGCAAAACTATAAATTCTAATGTGTCTCTATAGCATATTCTTTTTAAAAAAATATATTTTATTGATTTTTTACAGAGAGGAGGAGAGAGGGATAGAGAGCTAGAAACGTCGATGAGAGAGGAACATCAACCAGCTGCCTCCTGCACACCCCCTACCGGGGATGTGCCCGCAACCAATGTACATGCCCTTGACCGGAATCGAACCTGGGACCCTTCAGTCTGCAGACCGACGCTCTACCACTGAGCCAAACCGGTTTCGGCTCTATAGCATATTCTAATATTCTACATCAGAAAGATTCCACAAGCCTTAGCCAGTTTGGCTGAGTGGATAGTGTATCCGCCTGTGAACCAAAGGGTCCCGGATTTGAAGGTCAAGGGCACATACCTTGGTTGCAGGCTCCTCCCTAGCCCAGACCCTGGTAAGGGCTTATGCAGGAGGCAACCAATAGATGCGTCTCTCTCACATTGATGTTTCTTTCTGTCCTTCCCACTCTCTTCTACTCTCTCTAAAAATCAATTAAAAATATTCTTGGGTAAGGATTTTAAAAAAAATAGTTCTACAAAAGGTTAGATTTAATTTTTTACTATGCCAGACAAAAATTCTAAGGACTATTAAATATAAAAGTATGTTATATGTTCAAAAAAGATATGCCTTTCTTAAGAGGAAAATAATCAAAGTGTTAAATTTGAACCTAGTGTTTCAAGGTGAACAAATCTCTTCATTGCTCAAATGCAAAGCAAACATCTGTAGGAAACTGAAAAACATTAATGGCGAATTAGCGTGGATACCATGTAAAGTATGATTATCCAAATTCCCATTAGTAATGCTCTTTTCTTTTTAATGAACAATTTGTTTCTGTAGATGAGAGAACAGAACATGTTCATAACATACCTGTCATTCATAGCATTAAACAGAATGATCTTCAAAACAAAATAAAAACAGCTACTGTAAAAAAGAAAGAAAAAAAACCACCTTATGAATGCTAAGATTTTTTAAAAAACAACTTTGGAAAATCTTCAGAAGCAGATGCCTAAATAGAATAAACTGATTTCCTGAACTGTACACACATGTACAAGACTTTCCAGTTTGGCAAGACAACATATTGAGGCCTTTCAACAGACTCAGGAACTGGGTTTGAAAAGGCTTCTGAATTTCTGGCTTGGTAAAGTTCTTCAGTAGAATCTTACTGTGAGAGTATATGGCCTCGAGCTCAGAACAACAGAAAAGGTAGATCAAGAGCCATAACTAAAACAAAAGTATTTAATCTCTTATTCTCCCCTCAAGGTAAATCTAGACTATTCTCATATTGACTTTATGCAACCATTTGACTTTGAGGATTAGAATGAAAGAATGTTTATATTTGATTTTTCTAATGATATTTAAGAGTACCTGGCCACCCTGAGGATTCCTGGGAATTTAACTCAACCTTTACCATACCCTCCTCCCTCTGCAAATTCCTATGCTATTACCACTAAACCACCTCAAAAATAAACTTAAAAAATAACAGAATTGATGTGAATCAGTCAAAGAAATCACTAGAAAGATTAGGATCTTCAGTTTTATAACTTTCTTTACAACATTTGAATTTTAAAGGTCTTCTCTAGAAACTTTTTTTAAATAAAACTTTTATTGGAGAAAAATAGAACCACCACATACACAGGAAAAAGAACACAAAAATGTAACCGATACAGAATTGAAAAGTCACAATAACCCAATGTTTGCAATTACTTTTCAATTTCTTAAACAGTTCTACTCAATTTGTTTTTAATAGCCTTGCCAATTTTTCAGATGAACCAGCATCAAGTTTTCAAAAACTAAGAGCCTCAGAGAAGGGACCAGCTGTCAAGATGATAAAGGTAACACCAAGAATCTCCTCCTAACAGGACAAATCTATATAATTTCTTAAGAGTAACTACCAAGTCTGTGGAACCTGTCTGTATATCTCAGAGACCATCAGGGATGAGTTAGAACACTGATATAGATGGTCCAATATGGAGAAAAGGCAAACAAAATAGTTGTATTTCCTGGTCAGATGACCTCATTTAAGGAAACACCAGAAGAGCTGAGAATATAAAGGTAATGACTGTTCAAAAGAAAATTAGGAAGGCATTCAAAATACCACATATTTTTACACAACAGTGCGCACATTGATGCAATTAGAAACACAGGCAACTTTGTTAAAATAACTGTTCACAGGTCTTTGAGAACTCAAGAAAACAATACCAGACACAAAAAGCACGTCTCTGGCTAGAACCTAGGTATTCTTTCTAATGACTCCAAATAGTAAAGGACATAACTACTGTAAAAACAGTTCTAATTTTTAAAAACAAGAACAAAATTTTCTACTTTTTCTTTGTGATCGATTAATTTCAAAACTTCAAGAAAAAACAAATATGTAAGAAAAAAATAAAACAAACAAAAAAAACACCATGGGTGGTAAAGATAAGCCTTTTACTCTCAAGATCAATCTGAAGAACGATACTTTTGCTATATTCTATGTCTGAACAATCCTAGGACATTCCCCTGAAAAGTAGGTGCCTTGGTCATGAGAAATCTTCAAACAATTTTTAAAGAAACAAGATCAGCATGAAATAGAATTTGAAATTCCCAACTAGGGAATGTGTGGAGAAAATGAGAGGATCTTTACAACTAGGGCTTTAGGAAGTTAGAATAAAAGACAGTAAAGGCTTATTTACCAACAAAGAGTTAGGGTGCTTCCCCCCAAAAAAACTTTGGTAATAAAAAATAAGAATGCTAAATCCTAAAAAGCTTGTAACAATCTATAATTGGTCCAAGTTAAACACAAAACTGTTCAAGCAACATTAAAGTCTAAATGAAGTTGAAAACTACCTGATGAATTTTTAGTTGTGTAAAAATTTACAAAATATGCGGGTTTTGGTCTCTTTTGCAATGTTCATGTTGTATACATTTTTAATATGAAGAAAGATGGATTTTTCTCTATTTTGTTCTTCTAGTACAAATGATCAGCAATTTTCTATTTCAGCTATTTTTATAAGTACCTGTTAATTAGCACAGTAAACTCAAGGCTAAGCCATATACACACATCTCACAGCCATAAATGGAACATTTGAGGATGTGTATATATAAGATTATATAAGCAACTGTCCCTCTACTTGAAAACTTGTTTCCAAATAAATTTTTCAAAGCATCCCTTTGAGTGTAACAGAACATTACTTAGTAAAATGGAATTAGTTGCGACAACTTATTTTTCTTTTCAAGGGAAATCACAAAACAGGTGAACAACCAAGTCCAGGGTGGTTTTTCTATTTGATAAATACATCCAGAACTCTGTACAGTAAATAAAGTTTGCATGCAGTTTAAGTATCTTTAAATGACATTTTAAGCAAATAAACCTTTGCTTCATAATTAATGGTGTATAAGAACCCCCCTTTTTTAATAGCCATGGGGACCTCTTCCCTATTTCCAAAGAGGAATCATGAAGACCAAATACTTTCTTAAGAGTTTTCTGTACATCATACTAAATAACATGCAAAGAGTTCAACAACATTCTTCTTAAAGGTAAGTATTACTCTTTTAATTGGCATGTTAACCACTGAAAATGTCCACTCAACTATTTCCATTACACTGCTTCATTTGGTCATCGGTAGTATAAAAGAAGTCAAACAATATAGGATCAACAAGTTAAGTTTATCCACTGGCTACAGCATGAAACACAAAATGCTCCAAGGCCAACTTTTATGCAATGTAGTTGTACTGATTTGGGTTTTCTTTATCTCTTTCCATGTAGTCCCGGTCAATTAAGGATTCTATTCTCTTCTTAAGATCAGCAGGCTGTAAGAGAAAGCAAGTTTTCAGTGCAAAGCTCATAGTCACTGGCTCAAGCCCATTCACCAACACCCCATTAAAAAAAGGAACGGTCCTAGTTGGTTTGGGCAGTGAATAGAGCTTCGGCCTGCAGACCAAAGGGTCCTGAGTTCAATTCCAATTAAGGGCATGTACCTTGGTTGCAGGCTCCTCCTTGGCTCTGGCCCTGGTCAGGGCATGTGCAAGAGGCAACCAATTGATGTATTTTTCTCACATCGATATTTCTCTCTCGTCTTTCCCTGTCTTCCACTCTCCCTAAAAATCAATGGGAAAATATCCTGTGCAGAGGATTAAAATCATCATCATCACCATCTAAAAAAGGAACCGTTTGGTTGTTAATCTCCTTAATTTTTAAAACTTTTCACTTTTGTTTTTTGTTAATCCTCATCCGAGGCTTTTTAAAATATGTTTTTATTGATTTCAATAAAAGGAAGAGGGAGGAAGGGAAGGAGAGGGAGAGAGGGGGAGAGAGGGAGAGGAGGAAAGGTAGGAGGGAGGGAGAGAGAGGAAGAGAGGGTGGGAGGGAGGAAAAGAGAGGAAGAGAGGGAGGGGGGGGGGAGAGAGAAAGATCTATGAGGAGAGAATCATTGATTGGCACATCCCCTACTGGGGATCGAGTCCACAACCCACGCTTGTGTCCTGGCCAGGAATCGAACCATGACCTTCTGGTTCATGGGCCAATGCTCAACAACTGGCTGGGCACCTGAGGATATTTTTTCCATTGATTTTTATACAGTAGAAGGAAGGGAAGACAGGGAGGGAGGAAAAGAGAGAGAGGTAGAGAAGGAGGGGGGAGGAGAGAAATTCATTGCTGTGAGAGAGACACACCAATTTGTTGCAGCCCCAAATGCCCTGACAGGGGTGGGGATCAAACCTGACACCAGACTTGTGCCCTCAACCTTTTGGTGCTCTGGCCAATGCTCTAATCACTTGGCAATACCAGCCAGGGTTAATTTTTACTTTTTAAAATCTCAACTTTTTAAAAGATAAAGTATAATGGAAATAAGCCAGTTAAGGAATATTTTAAACTATACACATACTGTCACACCTTGCCATATTACTATACAACACTTTCTATTTTAAAGAGGTCTTCTAAGAACCAGCTATTCTGTAAGAAAACTAACTCATAACTTCATATGAGAAGCACATTATAAGTTTAGGGAGACAAAATGCTATTTAATTTTGCCAAGATAGTTTGAAAAGACAGGTAAACCTTACATTTGGGCAAAAGATAGTTCTCAAAGTCAGGTTCCATTTTTATTTTTAAAAAATGTACTGGCGCCTGGCATTGTGGCTCAGTGGTTGAGCATTGACCTATGAACCAGAGGGGTCACACTTCGGTTCCAGGTCAGAGCACAGGCCCAGGTTGCCAACTCGATCCCTTGTTTGGGTGTGTTCAGGAGACTGCTGATCAACGATTCTCTTATCATTGTTTCTTTCTCTCCCTCTCCCTTCCTCTCTGCAATCAACTAAAAAATATTTTAAAAAAAGAACTCTGGGGAGGGAGGGGATGTGTGGGAGGGAGGGGAGAAGGGGGGAAATCAATAAAATATATATAAAAAAATAAATAAAATAAAAAATAATAAATTTATATTAAAAAAAAAAAAAAAAAAAAAAAGAATTACTGGCCCTGGTCAGGTGGCTCAGTTGGTTGGAGTATCATCCATACACCAAAAGGTTATGGGTTTGATTCCTTGTTAGGGCACATATCTAGGTTGCACATCTGATCCCTGGTTGGGATGCATATAGGAGGCAACTGATGTTTCTCTCTCTCTCTCTCTCTCTCTCTCTAAAAATCAATGAATATATCCTCGAGTGTGGATTAAAAATAAATGTACTATATAAGAATACTACAAGAAATGGCTTAATGAGTGAACTATCCTATGTAATAAAAGGTTAATATGCAAATCAACCGAATGGCAGGACTGATGGCTATAGCATGCACTGATGACCAGAGGGCAGATGCTCACCACAGGAGCTGCCCCCTGGTGGTCACTGTGCTCCCACAGGGGGAGTGCTGCTCAGCCAGAAGCTGGACTTACCGGTAAGCCATCTTTTGAAAAGTTTAGCAACAGTTCTGATAAACTGAAATTGGGTATTAAATGGACATTCCAATATAAATGCCCAATAATAGACTTAGAGAAAGAGAGACATTCATTGATGTGAGAGACACACACGCCAATTGGTTGCAGCCCCAAACGCCGTGATAGGGGTCCCAGACTGTGAGAGGGCGCAGGCCAGGCTATGGGACTCAACCCCCGACAGTGCATGAAACGCCATGCACCAGGCCTCTAGTTATCTAATAATCCAGATTTTTGTATTCCAGGTTTAATGTAAGATTTAACTATTACCTACTATAAATAATTGGATTTTTGAATCCTGCTTATGGTTAAAAAAATTTGAGAAAACTTATGTTTGCTTTCAAAGCTATATTCTTAGCTAGCTCTTGAATGACAAAATTCCAGTGGCTTTTGTATCTAGCCTATAAAAATATAATCTTGCTAGCTAATAGTTTTCAGATTATTTATAATCACCATTTGATCAAGAAGGTTAAAGAAGGAAAGTAGTCTGGTGGGGCAGCCAAAATTTCAGCCACAGTATCACCCAGTAATTCCAAGATTTGAAAATCAAAATGGCTTTCTCTTAATTATGTTGAACCTACTATCAGCACAATGTTATAGTGATCCTCTTATCTTCTCTAGCATCAGTGATCTCTCTGGCTGGAAGGGAATGGTTGTAAGGCAGAACATAAGGGTAACAATGTGGTAATGAGGCAGCAGTGTTAGGTATGGAGAAGACAGAAAGCCTACCTTATTAGCATTAATAGCTAATGAGCACTTATTATGTCCCAGGACTAGTACCAAGTTTTTTACAAATATTATCTAATTTAAGCCTCACAATAATCTACAAGTAAGTCCTTTTACTATCACCACTTTATAAAAGAAAAAACAAGCCCAAAGATCACGAGAACATCAATAGTCTAGCCAAACTCTACCAAAATTTTATCACCACAAGTGTTTGGAAATTGTATAAAACTTGGAAAACAGTGCAGTACACCACCACATTGTCTAAATCTATTATTGGACATTTATACTAGCATGTCTATTTAATACCCAATTTCAGTTTGCCAGAACTATTGCTAAACTTTTCAAAATATGGCTTAATGATAACTAGTTATCTATATAGACTTTCTAATGGATACTCATATAAGCTAACTAAACAAACGATTTAATTTAAAACAACCAGATTTGTCAAATACCAAGCTATTAATATATATGTACATATACGTGTGTGTGTGTGTGTGTATTTTCAATTACAATTGACATTCAGTATTATTTTATACTAGAGGCCCAGTGCACGAATTCATGCATGGGTGGAGTCCCTTGCCCTGGCTGGCAATTAGGGCCAATCGGGACCATCTCACCCAGTCCCAATTGGGGTCAATGGGGGCTGGCCAGCTGGGGAGGGACTGCAGGAGGTTGGCTGGCTGGCTGGCCAGGGAGGGACTGCAGGAGGGCTCCAGGGCGTGTCCAGCCTTACTCACCCAGTTCCAATCAGCAGGATCCCAGCAGCAAGCTAACCTATTGGTTAGAGCATCTGCCCTCTGGTGGTCAGTGCTTGTCATAGAGACTGGTTGAGTGGTCGACTGAATGGTCGACAGGTCGGACACTTAGCATATGAGGTTTTTATATTGTAGATTAGTTTTGGATATACAGCACAATGCTTAGACAATTGTATAATTTATGAAGTGATCCCCCTGATAATTCTAGTACACTTAGGATCATACATAGTTATTACAATATTATTAACTATTTTCCCTACTAGAGGCCCAGTGCATGAAAATTCATGCACTGGAGGGGAGGTCCCTCAGCCCGGCCTGCCCCCTCACAGTCCGGAAGCCCTCAGGGGTAGGAGGTGACCCAACTATCAGGGGAGGGTGACACCCCCATCATACCTCTGCTGCTGCAACTGCCAGCAGCACAAGCCTCAGGCGGCCGGGCAGTCACCATGTGAGGCTTGCCTGTGCCTCAGGCTGGCCCTAGGCAGCTGAGCAGACACCATCTGAGGCTTTCCTGTGCCTTGGGCTGGCCCTGGGTGGCTGGGGGGCTGAGGGGACTAGGAGACTTCAGAGGTGGGGGCGGGACCAGCCTTGCTGCGCACCTACCACCCTGGTGGTGGGGCTGAGGGGAATGGGTGCCGCCATCTTGTGGCTGTGGGCACCACCATCTTTGAGGGCGGGGCAGTCAATTATAGCATATTCCCTCCTTATTGGCTGTGGGCACCATCATCTTTGTGATGGCATGAGGGTTAATTAGCATATTCCTTCTTTATTAGATAGGATGCTATAACAAGGTATTTCAAGGAGAAAAAAATAACAAAAGTAACAAAGAAGCTCAAAAGAAGTAAATGAACTTGAAAACTTCAAAGACTCATTTAGCAGCTAAACTTCCAGGTGTAAGAGCTTTAATAAAATATCTTCCCTCTTTTGTCATAGCTGCCCCCACATGACAACAAACGTTTTTTGGAATTATATATATGAACATGAGAAATGAAAACTTCTGTCCCTCACCCTAGCCAGTATGGCTCAATTGGTTGAACATTATCCTGTGCACCAAAAGGTCAATGGTTCAACTCCTGATCAGGAAACATACTCAGGTTGTAGTTTTAGTCCCTGGTAGGGGGCGTGCAGGAGACAGCCCATTGCTGTTTCTCACATCTTGTCTCTCTCTCTCCCCCCTTGCACTCTAAAATAAATTTTAAAATACTTTTTAAAAAACTATGTTTATAATATTCATGTTTGAAAATATGTATTCTTTTATATATAACTAGAGGCCCAGTGTACAAAAATTTGTGTAATTGGGGGTAGGGGGGAGGAGCCTTCAGCCCAGCCTGAGCCTTCTCACAGCTTGGAAGCCCCTGGGTCATGTCCAACTGATGGCTTATGCCTGTAGTCAGACATCCTTAGCACTGTGATGGAGGCAGGAGAGGCTCCCACCAATGCCATTGTGCTCGCCAGCTATTAGCCTGGCTTGTGGCTGAGCAGCACTCCCCCTGTGGGAGCACACTGACCACCAGGTGGCAGCTCTAGCCCAGCACCCCCATTGACCCGCTGCCAGCTTCCACTGCCATCGGTAGCCACTGCCCCCCAATCGCTGTCCCCTCCCTCTGCCCACTGGCACCCGCCTTGGCTGACACTGACGGCTTGCTGGTCCCACCCCCCACCGGCTGTTCTGCTGTTCAGTCTATTTGCATATTAGGCTTTTATTATATAGGACAAGCTCAATATAAAAACACAGAAGTACCTACCTTTACTGGAAATTTCAACTGGTTGTACACTTCTGAAACCAGGAGATTGTGGCTAAGTGTCTTCCTCATCTTCATAATTCGAACAATTGCAGCATCAATTTGATACTGTCTGTCTTGAAATACTCTTTCTGTAGTGCTTGCTTGTTCCTCAACCTAACAAAAAAAGTTTCACTTAGGAATTGTATCTGAAGTTAAACATGACACACTGCTAATGCACTAAATATGCTGAATTATCTATAGGACCTTTTTAAATACAGTAAATTACAGGGAAAAAACATAGCTTCTTTCTGTCCTAATTATACTGCCCTGTACCTATGAAGTAATATCAATATTAGTTAATAAAAAATACAATCTTTGAGTTGTTTTTCTAGAAGTAGACACCAGATAATATAGAATTGGTTATTTTATTCTGTCCTTGAAACCTTCTAAATGTGTCACAAGGGGTTGTTGAGTAGATTTTTGTATGCTTCTTTGTAAAAATGATTGACACTGACCTCTGTCTCAAAATATCGTACTAACTAACTAAGCTAACAAGAGTCAAAATTTCTAAAAATGATTTTTGTGCCTTGCTGGTGTAGCTCAGTGATTGAGCATCAACCAATGAACCAGGAAGTCATGGTTCAATTACTGGTCATGGCACATGCCTGGCATTGCAGGCTCAATCCTCAGTATAGGGCATGCAGGGAACAGCCAATCAAGGATTCTCTCTCATCTTTGATGTTTCTGTATCTCTCTCTCTGAAAAAAAAATGAATAAAAAATTTAAAAATATAACTTTTATCATTTACATCAAAAGAATAGTTTGTGTCCTAACTGGTTTGGCTCAGTGGATAGTGTGTCGGCCTGCAGACTGAAAGGTCCCAGGTTTGATTCCAGTCAAGGGCATGTACCTTGGTAGCAAGCACATCCCCAGTAAGAGGTGTGCAGGAGGTAGCTGATCGATGTTTCTCATCAATGTTTCTAACTCTCTATCTCTCTCCCTTCTTCTTTGTAAAAAATCAATACAATATATTTTTAAAAAAAGAATAGTTTGGGCTTTTTACCAGCAGTTTCTTTCTGATACAGCATAAATGTTTAAAAAGGACACAGTCGCCGGGACCGGTTTAGCTCAATGGATAGAGCATCGGCTTGGGGACTGAAGGGACCCGGGTTCGATTCCGGTCAAGGGCATGTACCTTGGTTGCGGGCATATCCCCAATAGGGGGTGTGCAAGAGGCAACTGATCGATGACTCTCTCTCATCGATGTTTCTAACTCTCTATCTCTCTCCCTTCCTCTCTGTACAAAATCAATAAAATATATAAAAAAAAAAGAAAAAAAAAATAAAACATTACCACTCCTATCTTAAAAAAAAAAAAAAATAAAAAAAAAAAAATAAAAAAATAAAAAAAAAAAAAATAAAAAGGACACAGTCATCTTCTAAGGCAGTGATTGGCAAACTCATTTGTCAACACAGCCAAATATCAACAGTACAACAATTGAAATTTCTTGTGAGAGCCATTTTTTAAACAAACTTCTTCTAACACCACTTCTTCAAAATAGACTCACCAGGTCATGGTACTTTGTGGAAGAGCCACACTCAAGGGGCCAAAGAACCGAATGTGGCTCACGAGCCACAGTTTGCTGACCACTGTTCTAAGGGAATATCACATCTTTGATGTGAATGTGAACAAAATAGGAACTTGTCTGAGATATTGACCTCTGTCCTACATTAAAACTTTTCCTGGTTTCAATTAATGCTATGGTTCCTTAATAAAAGTCATACAAATTCAAAAGGCAAAACCCAACAAAATATTCACTGTTAATCAAAGAAATATTAAATCATTCAGATTTTTCATCAAGCAAGTTGGCAAAAATTTAAAAAAGAAAATACAATCTTTAGTGCTGGTGAGGGCACTGCTAAGTCAGGCAGTCATGCTGCTAGACAAGAGTATAAATTGGTACAGCCTTTCTGGAACACAATGTGACAATGTATTAAGACGCTTCAAACGTTCATACTCATTGACCCAACAGATGTACTTCCATGAATTTATCATAAGTGGAAGCTCAGAGAGATTAAGATTTAGGTAACAAAGAGATTTCTTACAGTTTTATTTATAAATACTAAAATTTTTTTTAGCCCTGTAAAAGAATATTAGATGTCATTTTGTCAAATATTTATTTAATAGCATGAAAGAAGTCTAAAGATTTAATAATAAACACAAAGAGCAGGATATAAAACTATGTTCAATATTAAGTCTGTGTGCAAATAAAACCTGCAAAATCAAGTACTGAAATACACTGAGCTAGAGATAGCCATAGAAAACATTAACACCAGTGGTAATATTATAGCTATAAAATCTTTATAGCCCTAACTGGTTTGGCTCAGTGGAAAGAATGTCAGCCTGTGGACTAAAGGTTGGATTCCAGTCGAGGGCATGTATCTTTGTTGCAGGCACATCCCCAGTTGGGGGTGTGAAGGAGGCAGCTGATTGATGTTTCTCTCTCATCGATGTTTTTAGCTCTCTCTCCCTCTCCCTTCCTCTCTGTAAAAAATCATAAAATATATTTAAAAAATAAAAAACCAGGGATCCAAGATGGCTGCGCCCAGGTGAACACCTAGCCGCAGCCGCACACAACAATTTCAATAAAATACAACTAAAATATAAAACGGACATTGCCCAGAACTACAGGAAGGTTGACTGACTGGAAATTCTACAGCGAGAAGCAAGGAGAAAACCAGAAGGAGGCGCAGAGGAGCTGGAAAAGGCGCGCGGAGAGGACGGAGCCCGAGAGGAGGGAGGCCGAGTGCCTGGCCGGCGTTCCCTAGCGGAAAGGAGATAAAACTCCGACTGTGCTGGGCCCCCGACTGCTCTGAACCCCAGTTCTAGGCCAGACCCCGGGGACTCAGGCTCAGCCATAGGGAGCTGGGCTGTAAGGCGGAACCCCAGGGAGCGGCGAAAGGAGGTCCCAGAGGTGCGCACACTGCGCGCAGAGAAGGGATGGTCGGCTGTGCCGTGGGATTGCCCTGACGGGAAGGAGACTGGGGCTCCAGACTGCTCTGAACACCACCTCCAACTCCACTTCCAACTGAACTGAACCCCAATACCGGCTCATTGTGGGAGAGCATAGACTGTTTGGCAGCAGGCGAAAATTGAGGGCACCTTTCTCTCAGAGGCGCTGGCAGCGAGCACTGAAGGACCAGCATAGGGCGGGGCTGACGGGAGCCAAAGCTGCAGGCTCCACCCTGAAACCCCATCCCATCTGTAACTGCGAAATGCGACAACAAAATAGATCACAAACGAAAGAAATGGAGGACAAAAAGCGTCTGGATATAGAGTTCAAATCTACGCTTATAAGGTTTTTCAAGAATTTCCTAGAAAAGATGGATAAGGCCTATGAGGATATGAAAAGAGATCAACTAGAATTAATAAGGAGTCAACAAGAAATGATAAGGGATCAACAAGAAATAAAGAATACATTGTCTGAAATAAAAAATATTATACAGAGTCCTAAAAACAGAAGGGAAGATCGCAAGAATCAAGTCAAAGATGTGGAACATAAAGAGCCAGAAGACACTCCTCCACAGAAGCTAGAAGGCAAGAGAATCCAGAAAATTGAAGATAATGTAAGAAACCTCTGGGACAACTTCAAGCGAACCAACATCAGAATTATGGGGGTCCCAGAAGATGAGAGAGAGCAAGATATCAAAAACATACTGAAAGAAATAGTGACAGAAAAATTCCCCCACCTGGTGAAAGAATTAGACTTACAAGTCCAGGAAGCGCACAGAACTCCAAACAAAAGGAATCCAAAGAGGACCACACCGAGACACATCATTATTAAAATTCCAAGAGCAAAAGACAAAGAGAGAATATTAAAAGAAGCAAGAGCAAAGAAGGTAGTAACCTATAAAGGAGCACCTATACGATTGTCAGCTGACTTCTCAACAGAAACCATGCAGGCCAGAAGGGAATGGCAAGAAATATTCAAGGTGATGAATAGCAAGAACCTACAGCCAAAAATAATCTACCCAGCAAAGCTATCACTCAGAATCAAAGGTCAGATAAAGAGCTTCACTAATAAAAAAAAGCTAAAGGAGTTCATCACCGCCAAACCAGAATTATATGAATTGCTGAAGGGGGTTCTTTCAGAAGAGAAAGTAAACAAAGATAAAAATTATGAACAACAAATACGTAACTATCAACAAGTGAATCTAAAAACCAAGGAAATTTAAAAAATCTGATGAACATTATTAACTGTTGAATATAATAAAATCAGAGGTATGGAAGGGGAATGAACTGACGATTCTTGGGGAAAAGGGGAGAGGGGGGCGTGGGAAGAGACTGAACATAAACTGTGCACCTATGGATGAGGACAATGGGGAGAGGGGAAAGGGCAGAGGGTGGGGTGGGAACCTGGTGGACGAGAGCAATGGTGGGGGGGGGGAAAGGAACATTTGTAATAATATGAACAATAAAAACGTATTAAAAAAATAAAAAATAAAATAAAATAAAATAAAAAAAATAAATAAATAAAAAAACAATCTTCTTTATCAATTTTTATCATGAACACATATAATTCCAGAGCATTAGGATGAGGAGAATGTAAAAGAAATACCGTTTCTTTCATTTGGATTTGGTTGATCTTTATCCTGAAAAGTTTGTGTTTGAAATCATCATTACAAATGAATTTGTCACCGTCTTCGATATCTTTGCCCTTCGGATTTTTTGCCAGAACTCTAGCTTTGCCACAGGCCAAGGACTGCAGTGTTCTCCTTAACTCGCCATCCTCTGAAGAAAAAATAGTGGCTTCGTCATTTATAATAGCTCATCAACAATAGCTACATTCAACCTCAATCTAGCTTCCATCCCATCCCTCTATTAATATTGTTTCTTTTTTACCCCACGGTCACCAATGACTCCCTCTGTATTTCATCTAATGGCTTTTTTCCCCTGGTCATCCTCTAAAGTAGGGGTGTCAAATTCAATCAGAGAAGGGGCCAAAATCTAAAATCCAGCCTAAATCGCGGGCCGAATGGTTTACTGAACAGTCATAAACTGTCATTGTGATGGAAACGCAGCGGAGTGCAGTGATGACAGCGCGGTGCGGGCCACATTGCAAGGCCTGGCGGGATGGATTTGGCCCGCGGGCCTTGTGTTTGACACATGTGCTCTAAAGACTTCAATTACCATTCCATGCGAATTAACTACCAAACCTTCAGAAATGTTATCTTACTTCTCTCCAGCCCCACATTTGAAGGACACTCCACCTGACTGTTTTTACTATCATCTACTCCAGTATGTTCAAAATTTTATTCATCATCTTCCCCATAAAACTGGGTCTTTTTTCCAACTGTTAGTCATGAATCTACCAACCTATTCCGGTGAGAAACCCTGCAATTATCTTTCTTCCCCTTCATCTTCCACTTATCTAGTAAGTTGTTGCTTCCTTAGAGATGCCTCTTCTCCATTCTCATTTGCCTCATTCTAGTCTAAGCCCCTATCATTTTATGACAGAATTACCCCACTAGTTACTGGACTGGAACCTCTTCATCTTCCAAGACTTACCCTGTATAAGTCACTTCCATTATGTCCACACTTGAGACCCTACAATATGTTTCATTTCCTAGATTTGTAAGTCTCTACCCATCTTACCCTAACTTTTTAATCTCCCTATTCTGTGCTGCAGTTAAACTCTTCATGACTCCTGCTCACACTGTGCTCATTGCTACCTCCAAGTCTTTTCTCACAATATTTGCACTTGCACCATACGCTTTCTCCATAACTAAAGCTTGAAGGTCCAGCTTAAGTCCCACCCCCTTCCTAAGGCTTTCCCAAATATATCACTCCACAGTGATCTCCTGCTTTGCCAAATTCCTTACACACTGTGAGTCAGCACCACACATTGGTACTTGAAATTATTTCGTGTCATTTTCCCCTTTCCCATGGTATATTAGGAGTGCCAAAGAGAGGGATTATTCCTTTATATCCCTCCAGAGCTCTTAACCTAACAGAGTGCAGAGTAGACACTGAATAATGCTTGTTAATCAACTGATTCAACACAAACCTATTCCAGTAGCCTGCTTGATCTCTTCTAAACTGAACTCCTCTCCCTCATTAAACATCAGCAGCACCAGTGTTTGAAAAAGAGACACTTGGAGTTCTTTTTTACCCTGTTGGAGAAATAGCAGTGTTTAGCCATCAGGGTTTTTTTTAAACACATGAAACATTAATCAAATAACTACTCTCTTACAGGGAAACCTTTTTTCCCCCTTCAATTATTGGACTTAGAAACATGGATTAACAGTATCCAGAAAAGCCAGTATGTTCGGTATTGGGCTTAGGTGTGGTCCTACCTAAAACAGGAGGAAGTATTAGGTGACCTTTCTAAAGTCTTTTTTAAAGCCTTATAATTAAAACTGAACAACAAAGCATAGAAAACTAATATCTTAGCCTTCTTATTTGTCATTACAGATTATTTATCATGAGCAGCAAGAAATCACTATTTCAAATGCATTTTTGACTTTTTTGATTCAGGTAAGTCATGAAAAGCTGCAGGAACTCTATTCTCTAGCCCCCAACAACAAGAAATTAAGTTTTCTGTCAAGAAGTGGCAGTAGATTCTACTAGTACATCCATGGGTGGGGAAAGAGTGGGTAAAAGAGTTACTGTTCTTGGTTTTCCAGCAAGGTCAAATCAACTGTAGAAAGGACCAAATTCTTATAATATACAGAAAACTGTGAAAAGCTATCACTGTCATATAGGCATTAAGGATACAGTTATAAACAAGTTAGGAGGTATGACCTCAATATCAAAGATGAACATGAAAATTAAGTGTGGGGAACATCCACTTACCTCTTTAAATTCTGCCTTTAACACACAGTGTCCTAGGGTCGACTGCCATTGAAGTTTCCTGCCACTATGTTTGCCTAGGTAAAATGTCTTAAAAATCTCCTGAAGTTTTACCATCTACAGTAAATAAAATAAAGCTTTATTTAAGCTGTTTCCAATATTACACATTCACCACTCTTTATATTTACCTCACATATATTAATTTCTGGGTGTTTTTAAGACTATCCAATAGGCCCACTGATCACTGATATAAGGCAATGATTTCCCAATTACCAAATCTAATGGCATTTATCAGTACTCACACTCTTGCTTTAATCATTCCCTCTTTTGAAACATTTACCTCCAATGACTTTTGTGCCTCTGCACCATTCTAGACCCTTTCTCTCACTATTGCTTCTTTATTGGTTTTCTTCACAGGTTTCTCTCCAACACCTTCCAAATGACAGCCCTTTCCAAAGTTCTGCCTCAGCTGTCTTCTTCCTGTTTACACATTCTCCCTCCTAATGAGAGAGATCTACTCCCTGGAGGATTTTCAGTTTTCTCTCTCTCTCTCTCTCTAGTCTTAACCCCTTTTCTAAGCTTCAGTCCTAAGTTCAACATTTCCCGAAGGAGTTAGGGTGGATTTATTCAAGTAATCATCACTCAGCCATCCAATCCCCAGGTGACACATGAGCAAGACTTTTTGAGCACTGAGCAGAGAGGTGAGTACTATCTTGGAAAATGAAAGAAGACCCAGGGAAATTAGCCCTGAACCCAAAAACTTGGCGTTTTTATACTCTAATGATATTAATGCAAAAATAATATAAATAGAAGAGTAAAATATTAAAATAGCTGGCATTTTGTATTGGTGTGCTTAATGATACAAACTTTTATTAAAAGTATTTTTCAATGACAAACAAAATATAAGTGTCATGTATTTCTATGCTTATAACACAAGTTCTAAACAGCAACTCTTACCTCTGGCGGTAAATGGACTTCCATAGGCACATATGTTGGCCAATAACCCATTGTTAGGATATTCACAGTTAATTCAATATTCCCAGGTACATTCTGGTTCTGCATATACTACAATAAGATCAAACACACACACTGAGATTTTAAAACTAAAAATGCAAACATTTCATAATAATGACCCATTCAAGAAGTTTCCCATTATAAAATTACATGCAAATGCTGACCATCTCTAAAATAAAAGGCAACTATTAAAGGACTACAAATGAAGCCTATATTAAATGCACTACAAAAGTGCACTGGTTAACATTTTGTTACAATGGCACAAGGTCACATGACCTTGTTAGAGGCATTATCAACTTAAGTGGTCTCTCACATATAGCTGGGCTGTTATAGGATCTCTTCTCCATTGTTTTCCCCATACCACCTGTAGTCCCCACTTTTGGAGACCCCTATGTGGTTTGAACACCTTGCAGAAACCCCATTTCTCACCCCACCAGCCAGCCCAAGTCTCTGGTTTTTCACTTGCTCCACCGCCTATTTGCAGGGGGTCACCTGAAGTGGGGAAGGAAAAAAAAAAAAAGGGAAAGGGCAAAGCAGATAAACACTATTCTGTAGCTACCATAGGACCCATGATCCTACTGATTCTGATCTTGCTCTTGAGTCTTCAACTCTCATTTCCCGCTGTAGCAATATAGTGGTAAAGAGGTCACTATTAAAACCCTAAGAGAAGAAAATCTCGTTTGCTATCACTATTCCCTATGTTTTTAAATATTTCAAAACTACCTCTCACAAAATCTGTGAAACTATGGATCTAGCTTCTCATTGCCAATGTTCCCAAAGGCTTTACACAACCACCCTGTCACATCTCCTCCCTCTCCACTGCCAGCTTTTAACATGTGAATCATCAACAGTGATTAGATGCTAGAAAAATTCCTGGTCTATCTAGCTCCAGCTTTTCTTGTTCTGACTTCAGCTCAATACACTTTATTTCTTTTTTTCTTCTCATTTTTTTATTAAGGTATTATATGTGTATTTCTATTTATATATATATATATATATATATATATATATATATATATATATATATATATATAAAATATTGTTTTTTTACAGAGAGGAAGAGAGGGATAGAGAGTTAGAAACATCGATGAAAGAGAATCATCCATCAGCTGCCTCTTGCACCCTCCCTACTGGGGATGTGCCGGCAACCAAGGTACATGCCCTTGACCGGAATTGAACCTGGGACCTTTCAGTCTGCAGGCAGATGCTCTATCCACTGAGCCAAACCAGTTTCGGCTGTATTTCTATTTTTGTGCTATTATGGGTATACATTGAAAATATTAAAGTAGGTCAAATATACTTACATTTCACTTACGTTGCTATGAAATATTTACAAAAACATGTTTCTATTTATGCTTTTCAGTGCAAACCACAGCAAGGAGATAACTAAATATATTTAAGTTCAAGGGATGAAGTAAGAGTTTAACTCACTTTTACCTGTTTGAACTGAATCATGATGTCTTTAGAAAGTTCCATGTCTTTAAACATTCCTTCAAGTTTGCTGGTGAAAGCAGCTCCACATTCTATTAAAGATGTTTATACATTTATAATATTTCAAAGTGGTTAAAAACAAGGAATTTAAAATTAAAAACATGAATGTAAAACAAAGTAATAGTATGAACTATGATTTGTAATTGTTCATAAGAATAAAAAAATCCCTACCCCAAAGTGTATGCCCCACTAATTGAGAATCAAACTCTTTAATCCTATAGTAGTAACCTTATCTCCTATTTAGGAATAAAATAAACAAAAAATATTTTATACAAATAATAAAAACAAGAAGAATCTTTTATTTTTAAGAATCACAACAGCTCTGGATATGTTTGCAAAAATAAGCAGGAAACCGATGAGCTTACTGATGTGTCTCTCTCACATCCATGTTTTTCTCTCTGTCTCTCTCTGTCCCTTTCACTCTCTCTAAAAATCAATTGAGAACTGTCCTTGGGTAAAGGACATTTTCATCACATGAACATAGAA